GGGAAAAGCCCCCAAACCCCCCCCCCCCCCCATGTCTGCAGCTAACTGCGGAGGCAGCGCAGTCCAGCCTAAAAATACAGAGACTTCACAATAAATCCTGGCTGAAGGAGAGCCTCCCAAAGATAATGAGAACAAGCTGTAACTAAAAGCGCTAAGTGTGTGTGGGATGCAAATCACTGTAAAAACTGCAGAGGATTAGAAGATGAATACCAGCTGCTGTGAGACAGCCTGGCAAAAGACAAGTCACGAGAGGGACAAATATTCAACTGGGAAGCCCACGTTCTTCCTTGCAGGAAGTGCACTTGTAACTTGTCAAGGTTACCAGGGTCACAAATGATTTCACCTTCAAAGGAGCAGAAGGTAAACTGCTCTACTCAACAAACATGGCATACAGGGATTAGAGACCCTGCTCGCACGCTGCAGTGCCTGCAGAAATGAAGGCAGGCCCTTTACCAACACCCCTTCTCAGGGAAAGAACAGCTCAGGTGTCTCAGACCCATGCTGCTAATGCAAACCCCAAGATTGCAGGAGGCTTCCGAAGATGGGAAAATGCCACTTCAGAAAACTGCCAGCTGGAGCTGCACAAACAAGTGCAAGTGGGATAAGGCTGCAGTCAACAGCACAGCAGGAACGTTTTAAGGCTGTGGCCCCCAAGTAAGGGACACCTATGGCTAATAGCTTCTTTTGACTGCTACAGACTGTCACATCTGAGAACAGTCACAAGAAGTAAAAAAAAAATTATATATCTAGAATAGGCATATAAGAGACCCTAAAGAATGCAGTGCATCAGCTGAGCCAAGTATCACATTCCACTATACCACCCACCAAGGAAATGTCTGTAGGAAACACACTCCCAAATCCTAGCACTCTGGGGCATACAGTTGTCCTCAGCTGGCTGGCTGCTACCAAAACACAAGGCTTAAGACTATGAATTTCAGAGCCTTTATCCAGGAGCCCATCCAATACTCACATCTTGCCTTAGGAAGCTGCCAGGTGGACATTCCCTCAGTTCACAAATTCAATATACAGGTTACACTGGGTCACTCCAGTCAGAGCCAGGAAGATACTCCAGGTCTTCAGCACAACACCCCCAAATTTTCTCTCTACTCACTGAACAGCTCTTCAGTAACACACTATAATCACTGCCCTCTTCTACAGCTAACAGAACATGCAATAACCTACTGACAATATGATCTATACCAACAACAAACTGTTTCTTAAGTTTCCTGAGGGATACAGGAGCTAAAAATTCAAACTCATCTATGTAAGAGCCCAATGGATAAATCAGGATCAAGATGGTTTTCTTATAAAAGACTGGCTACTATAAAAACAAACTCAAATCCCAGCACTGTTTTTTAACAGACAGGCCATATGCAAACACCCAGTGCTCCTTTCTCCAACCACAAGTTTTGACCATTTACACCACACATACACCAGCATGCCTGGAGACCAGCAGGTAGGACAGCCAACAGCAGCTGCAGAAGTAAATTGAAAGCACACTGCTCAGTGAGAGGGTTGTTTTGGTTTTTTTTAATGTTTAAATTACAGCAGCTCGGGTGGACAGCTGGAGCTTCCAGGAAGAGCTGAAAAAGATGAAAAAGCCAACAAACAGGAGAACAGAACTGGAAGAATCAATCTGTCAGGCTAAAAGGGTCAGCTGCCAAGAGGCAGTAAGAAAGCAGAAAATATAGAGCTGCTGGGTGTAAAGGGATAGAGAGCAGACATTTTGTAAGATGTTAACGTTGTCTAGGACTGGCCTGGAAAAACTCAAGCTGCTCTTTTACAAGTTTACTGAGCCTAAGGCACTAGGCAGAGCCCTTCACGAAAACCAAATCCTTGGTACTTCCCTGCTCCTCCTGCAGCCAGGGCTCACCAGAACAGAGCAGATCAGCAGCAAAGGAGAAAAGAAAGTCCCAGGGATCTTGAACTAAGCTGATACCTACATCACCCAGGCGGTCTTCACGTGAGCACAGAACTATTCCCAGGGAGATTAGGGGAGCTCCTAACTTGCAAAGTCAGTGGAAAAACACAGTGGTTGAACTGGATGTAAAAACTTTTCACACAGGTATTCCAGAAAAATGAGCCATGACACTCTTGAGAAAGTTTGGAAAGAGAAGGATTAGAGAAGGAACAAAGAGGTAAAGCTTAGCACACAAGAAGAGCCCTACAGGCAGGGAAGTAGTGCAGGCCAGGCTGTTTTTCTTGGAGATTAGCATACGGTGCGAGAGTTAGTGTGCCTGGGAACAGCGCACTAGACAGAAGGATGGGAGCCTTCCACCCTGGAAGAGAGAAAAAAGCCTGTCATGCAAACACCCATAGCTCCAAGAAGCTCCCTAAGAACTCCCCCACTCTCATAAGGTGGACCTTCTAAACAGGATCTCCTTCTCACTTCCTCTTCCTCATTCCTGTGGTTAAGATTGAGAAATCTCAGTTGCTCAGAGCCCTCAGGTCCCAACGGCTCTAGGCTTCCTCTACCAACAGTTTTTCTTTTCCAGTACTCCACAAAGATCCTCCGTGGGTGCCACACTACAAGCCCTGACCGCTTACTTAATAAGAACATGAAAAAGAAAATCTGCACCTTTAAAAAGAAACATGAGGATAAGCGAGTGCTTGGTCAGTTCCCACATTCCCATGCTGACCTTAGAGAGGAAACAATAGAGGAAAACTGCCTTGTGGTGAGGTTACTTCTTCCACAGTACCTCATCCAAGTCCTGCAGATGATCAAGCTCCACAGTGCCATCACCCTTTTTAATACTTCCTTGATTTCCAGCACAGGCCCGGGAAATCTGAAGATATTCACCATGCAGCATCTCTCTTTAGCAAGGAATTTGGGGTGTCAAAAAAGAAAATAGCAGCTTGGAGGCCCCAAAAGAGAAAGCCTCCAGAAGAGGATTCAGCTGCTCAATTGAACAGCTCTGCATTTTGGCACCTCAACACCCCACTGGTCATCAGGTAGAAGCTGCACTTTTAAATATTTCATCCTCATCAGTACTGAAAGCTTGAAAACAGTTTTGCAACAATATGAGGTAGCCAGGGAACAAACATTTGCTACAATCAAAAGAGCTATAAGGGGCTCAGTCTAGGCAAGAAACCTCTGGTCACAAGCACTGAAATAAGAGTCTAGACACAACTAAAGAAAGAAGCCTTTCCCACTTCAGTGTGTGATTACATGGAAGCTATGACAGGATCTGTGGGATTGTCTGGAGACCTCTCAAATACCCAGGTGTTGGACAGTAAATAGCACGAGTGACTCCCAGATGAGTCACTAGTGCCTGCATGTCTTGATGCGTTAAGGAGTATTTGAAAGTCTTACCTTTGGAGTGAAATAAAAGCAAAATTCTGAGTATTTGGGGTCACTGCCTTACCTGTGAAATACTGCAGAAGAGGTGTTACAAGCCAGATCCCTCCCAGTTCCAGTAAAGACTTCTCTTTCTAGAAAGTTCCCTTCAACTCGCAAACTGTTTGTAACTTATGTGTGGAGCAGAATAGCAAAACAGAGGCTGACTTCCGACAGCTATGAAGAATGCTGCGCATGACTGCTCTGTGAAACACTCTGGGATCTTTTAGGCTAAGACTTAAGAAGAACCAAGTCCAGGGAGCAGAACTCTGACAGTGATGGTAAAAAGATGTGAGCACCTACGGACTTTCACGCACTTGCACCACTGCAAATGAGACCAGAGGGCACGTCTTGGCTGTTTTCAGCGCGTTCGTCCGTCCTGAAGTTGAGCCCAGCCACTCAAAGCAGCACATGCGTCACACTCACAGGAAATGAGCCTCAGCACTCGTTAGGCAACCATCCCTGCAGCACAAATGCAAAACTGACGTCCTCTTCATTTCCCCTTCCCTTTCTTGACTCCTTAGAGAGCGTCTGCAGATGCAAAGCAAGGCCACGTTCCCTATACACACACACACATCCCCCAACACCACAAAATAGCTGCTAACCTAACACAGGGTAGTTGCCAAGTATACATTATTGAGAGATCATGTTCCACCAAAAGGGGAGAGACGGTCAGCTGGGGAGAAAGACAGCACTCTGGAGATGATGGCATCCTGCTCTGTCCTGACTCAACTGTAAGATGGGGAGAAGCAGAAAAAGCGCAAGAGGTGTGGTTTGCTCCCCAGCACTGCCCTTCATTGCAACTGTGGTGACCTCTGTGTGAGGAACACGCAATTCCGGCTTCAGAGGAAACCCAAGCGCCCTCAACG